GAAGCAATCACAGAACTCAAGCGCGTAGAAGACGAAAAATATGCCAGGTATTTTTCTTTTCTGCCATCAGTTCATTTCGTATCAATCTTTTAAACTTGTGAGGAGGCTAATTCTCATTTTTAGGTAACTCTGAAGAGCACTGAGTGGGCTGTCTTCTGTTCAGAGCTCCGAACTGCTCGATAGCAGCCCTGTTATACCGCAGCGGGTATGAAATCGTTAATTCTGCTCTCATCATCCAAATAATGGTGTGTTATTATTTTATATATCTCCTTGTTTTGGTCTTTTTGGACCATCGCACGACTTCCATCCGTCGTGTTAATTAAATACACGCTCTGAGCTGTTATTAGGAGTGGCAGAAGTTTGGGGAGGAGGGTTAATGACGGGTTGGTTGGTTAGTTAGCCGGGAGAATGAGTGCGTTCAGGCTTGTTGCTAAACCCCACCCACACGCAGCCCTTAAACAATCCACACACTGGGGGTTCTCCTTACCTTGCAGTTCCTCGGGGGGAGAACAACTTACACGCAGTAGCCCAAATGTTCCTCTGGGTGTCACGCGAAGCCTTGGGCAAAGGGCCTCCATTTCCCTTTACTCCTCCCCTTTCTCCCTCTTCTCCGTGACTCCGATGAGTCTCGAGGAAGAATGGAAGAAATTATTTCTCCCTTTTCCATCCTCGTATCATTCCATGACTCCGTAAAGGTGGCTGCAGGAACCAATCTGAGCTAGGAAGGGGCTGAGACCTGACGCTCTCATTCTCCATCCTCTCACCGTCACCTAAAAGGAGTTTCAGAAAGAAACTATTTCTATGTCGTTTTCAGAAAAATAAAAGAAGCCAAAGAATATCAAGAGCAACTCCGGGCTCAAATCGCCTCTGAACGACAGGCCCGTGACGCCGAGGAAGAAGAGAAGCGGCAAGAATACGCGTCGTGTCTAGCAGCAGAGAGAGCTTACCAAGAAAGGGTACAGGCCCTTCTGTCTCGTGAAAAACCAGCAAAAATCCACCCTTTTAGAAGAGAACTCATGTCTAACTCTCAAGAAGATAATTTACAATGATTTCTTTCTTTTCTTTAGCTCACTCGGTTGCCTTAAAAAATTGTTTTCTAAGGGTGTTTTTAACTGAGTTAGTGGACTCCTCTCTGCTGTGATGCTGGAAATACAAGAAACATGGTATTTTTAAAGGTTGTTTTTCATGGCTTTTGGATTTTCTGTGACAAAATGACTGATCCGAATCAAAACGTGTGACATTTTAATCCAAGAATACTGTGTGTTCTCCGCAGTAAACGTGAAGGATATGTAGGCATTCTTTAAAATCTTCTATTAAAAATGCCTTTCAAACTGCAAATATTTGCAAAACCTTTTTCTTTTTGTATTTAGACAGAAAGCACCTGGTGACTCATCCTTATTTTCCTTGTTAAATATAAAACTCTGAATCTGTTTCACTATGGGCTTAGATGGTAAAGAGCTGATATTGCTTTGCATGTATTTTAGTTGCTATTGAATGATCTGTGGGATATGAGGGTCCCAAAACAAAATTGAGAGCTCTGCTTGGACAGATTTAGTCGTCCAGGCATTTGGAAATGCTTTCTTTTCTATCTTGCATTTTTCCATTTGAGCCTTTGCTCCTTCTTACCTGCAGATGTTTCTCTTTCCTCCTTCAGCTTTGACCATCTTTCCTCCAGCCCCTGCTTTGCCGCTCTTTTCTTCTCCAACTTCCATCCCTCCAACCTTTTCCTTTCAGTGTTGACTCCCAGGACTCGTGCGTTTGAAGGGATGTGGAGAGAAGCTGATAAACAGTTGGGATGAAAGCCCCAGCTCCCAGGCCTGGGAATGTTCTCAGTTGGAGAATGAACAATTCATTCTTGGAATGAATTCTTGGAATCGCCTCATCATCTTGGTTTAAAGCAAGTTGTGATTTGAGCAGAGCAACTTAGTTAATTACAGGTGGACAAATTCACACCATCCAGACAAGTGACCGGACACGGCAGAGCGGAGCTTCTTCACGTCTTGGTCCTTCCATCCCTTGTATCCAAACAGGATCAGTCTCCTAAAGCCTGAAAAGAAACATTTATAAACGTGAAAACATTGCAAACCAGGAAAGGTGGGTTGTTAGTCGGGATGTCAAGCCCTTGCAGTGCTTTTTAGCAGCCATCTCCCAAGCCACACGGAGGATTTCAGACCCGCTCCTTCTATTTTCCAGGTGGGAAAGGCCATCCTGGATAGTGGGAATAGTTTCATCAGGCCAGAGAGCTCAGGTAGTCAGAGGTCTCTGCTCTCGCCGCTGGGTCAAATTAGCAGAATGATTAAGAGATTAATTTCCTGCTCTGCCACAGACTCCCTGTGGAGTTTTTTTTCTTCACTACTGTGACCCCTCTCTGAAAAATGAACATAACAGCACATTCAGAATTCCAAGATTAATTAAAGTGTGTTATTAAAGGCTGTGACATTGTCGTTGGGTGCACCTAATATGAGAGAGAAAAAGCACCACGTCGGTGAGCTCGGTGAATTTGAGCCACTCAGAACCGTAATAAATCATTTTCTTTAATAAAGTAATAACTCGGAAGAAGTGGTCATCAAGCATTTATAAAGTGTCTGAGCTCCTGCTCCTGGAGGCAAAATTCCTCTGCAACGAATATGAAGTTTGCACAAAAATAAAAGATCATACTGGAAGAGGTTTGACTTCAGCAGAAATAAATATCCCATGGGATAACGGGCAACAAAACTCTTCCGAGAGGAAACTTGTGGTCGATGAACGTGTTGCTGGGGCCGATCCCTTTGCTGCTGAAGGCTTTGGAGCCTTCAGGTTGGTCTAGAAGAAGGGATAAGGCTCACACTAGGCTCCTTTAGAAGTATCCTCTCCATGATTTTCTGTGTCAAGATGGAAGAGTTTCCCTAATTGTGGTGTTTTCTGAGTGTTTGAGGGATCCTAGAGCCAACGGAGAGCGCAGGGACAACGCTGAGACGCGGAGCAGCCTGGTCCTTGGCTGGGTGACCTCTCCCTGCCTGGAGATAAAACCACTGGGATATAAAAACCAGGCAGTTTCAGCCTCTTCATTTATAGAGGTGTAGAAATAACTTTTCAAATATGCTTTCTTGTATTATTTTTATTACATTTTTCATGTTGGCGGAGGGGTAGAGCACGTTGGTGACATGCCTGTGGCAGAGCTGGCTTGTCCCTCCCAAATGAGGTAATATTTTCAGCAACTCAGCACTTAGGGCACACTTCAGGGATTTCATCTGTATTTTGGGGGGTTTTTAGTTTCTATCTTTAATTAAAGTTTGAGATTAATGGCAAGTCACACACGGCACCAGCTGGTATTTCATGGGGATGTCTGTGGTTTGCCTCTGGGCTATCACTGCTACCCAGGCTTGGCTGAAACCTTTGCTCCTTGCCAGTACTTCACATTTTGTTTCTACAGTTGATTTAATAAAAGGAGAGGAGCGAGTTTTGTTTGCCCGACAAAGTTATCTCAGAGGTTTAGCAGAGATGACGCTGCCAAATGCGTTACTCAGGATAATTTCTGGACAGGGTGCAGGTTTTTTTTTTTTTCCCCTTTCTTTGCTCCTTCCCAAACTTCCCCCGGAGCCACCTGCGATTTATTTGGATTCATCAAGGCCATCAGAGCTGGAAAAGAGAGATATCGGCGATGCTGGCTGTCCTCCCACCAAATCTGCGCTGCTCTTTGCCAAGCTCGGGGGGGGAGGAGAAGGAGGGAGCAAAACGGAGAAGATGCCAAAGGAAGGGGTGGTTTCAGCCCCCAAGGGACGAGGAGCTGAGGGCGAGATGCCACCAGCGTGGCTTTAAAGAAAGCCTGGGGGTGTCCTGTGAGTGGCACAGCCCGAAACCACGGCGGGAGGGATCCCCGCTCACACAGTAAACAACTGCGGCAGAGAACAAGCCCCGCTGAGCACATTTTCTGCCTGCTTAGTTAATATGCAAAATACCTTGAGTGATAATGAGTAGCGATAGCGATTACTTAGGAACACTTTGGATATGCATCATCCTTTTCGGGCTCAAAAAAAGCGCCTTGTAAGCAGGAATTTATAAGCATGGGGTGCTCCCAGGGGGTGGGGGGAGGCGGCGTGGCTATAGACTGACAAGCTAGGGGACTGTTTTTGGCTGTTTCTGCCCAAATTTTGGCCGTTTCTGCCCAATTTTTGGCCGGTTCCTGACATCTGAGTGACAGACCACCAATGCCCAGGAGCACAGTGATGGTGGTGGTGGGAACCCAAACCCACCTCCAGGCAGAAGATGGAGAAAATCCCCTCGCTGGTGCGTTCCTTGAGTGCGTTTCCACTGGGCTCATGTGGGCCCGGCTGCTGGTCCCGGGGCCCGCCATAGGCCCCCCCCCGCTGAGGCCACTCCTCACAGCCCCATAGACGTGCGGGTGGGGACGGCAGGGCCCTAAAACCACCGTGGGCCATTCGCCTGGGGCTTAATGACTTAATTCCGTAGGAAAGGAAGAAGAATAGAAGAATAAAAGGAGAAAAAAACCCCCTAAACCCACCAAAAAATATGGGGCGTTTCGGCACCTCCCGTGAGGGAAGAGAGGCGGCTCCCTCGCGCTGCAGCTGAGGCGAACCGAGCGGAGCCGAACCGAGCCGAGTCCGGCCGAGCGGAACGGACCCGAGCTCAGCCGAGCCTAGACGAACTGAACGGAGCCGAGTCCAGCCGAACGGAACGGACCCGAACCGAACGGACCCGAGCTCAACCGAGCCGAGTCCAGGCGAACTGAAGCGAACGGACCCGAACCGAGTCGGACGGAACCGAGCTCGGCTGAGCCTAACCGAACCGCCCCGAACGGCACCGAGCCCAGTCGAACTGAGGCGAGTCCCTCCGAACCCAGCCGAGCCGTGCCCGACCGCACCGCCTCATACCTGAGCGGGGCGCGGCTGAGGCGGAGCGGTGCCGCTTCCTCCTCCTCCTCCTCTTGCTCCCCCCCTGCCGCGCCGCTCCCTTCTCCTTCCCCGCGCCCCGGCCGGCGGCGGCGGGTGTAAAGGTCGGTCTGTCGCTCGGTCCGGCGGCGCCGCTCGCTGCCTGCCGGCCCCATGCCCCGCGCCTAGCGCCGCCCGCCCCGGCCATGTCCGCCGCGCAGCTCTACACCAAGGTGAGCGGGGCGTGTGTGTTTTGGCGGGGGGGGGGAAGGTTGTCGTCTTTGTATTTTGGAAGGTTGTTTTGCAGTCACGGGGGGGACCCGCAACTTTCTCCGCGCCCTCACGGTGCCTGAGGAGCGGAGGGGACCCCCCTCGACCCGCCCCGGCCCGTCCGCCCGGGGAGCCGGGATGGGGCTTCGTGAGGGGACTGGTTTCTGTGGGGAAGGGACCCCGGGGGTTTCATGAGGGGACTGTGTTTTTTTGTGAGGAAAGAACCCCGGAGTGTTCATGAAGTGACTGATTTTCTGTAGGAAAGGGATAGAGGTTTCATGAGGGGGCTGGTTTCTGTGGGGAGGGGACGGGGGTTTCCTGAGGTGACTGGTTTTCTGTGGGGAAGGGACGCCGGGGGTCTCGTGAGGTGACTGGTTTTCTGTGGGGAAGTGACGCCGGGGGTTTCATGAGGGGTCTGGTTTCTGTGGGGAAGGGACCCCGGGGGTTTCATGAGGTGACTGGTTTCTGTGGGGAGGGGATGCGAGTTTCATGAAGTGACCGGTTTTCTGTGGGGAAGGGACCTCGGGGGGTTAATGAAGGGGCCGGTTTCTGTGGGGAAGGGACAGGGATTTCATGAGGTGACTGGTTTTCTATGGGGAAGGGACCCCGAGGGTTTCATGAGGGGGTTGGTTTCTGTGGGGAAGGGACGCCGGGGGCTCATGAAGTGACTGGTTTTCTGTGGGGAAGGGACGCCGGGGGTCTCGTGAGGTGACTGGTTTTCTGTGGGGAAGTGACGCCGGGGGTTTCATGAGGGGTCTGGTTTCTGTGGGGAAGGGACCCCGGGGGTTTCATGAGGTGACTGGTTTCTGTGGGGAGGGGATGCGAGTTTCATGAAGTGACCGGTTTTCTGTGGGGAAGGGACGCCGGGGGCTCATGAAGTGACTGGTTTTCTGTGGGAAAGGGACCCCGGGGGTCTCGTGAGGGGACTGGTTTCTGTGGGGTAGGGACAGGGGGCTCATGAAGTGACCGGTTTTCTGTGGGGAAGGGACCTCGGGGGGTTAATGAAGGGGCCGGTTTCTGTGGGGAAGGGACAGAGGTTTTATGAGGGAGCTGGTTTCTGTGGGGAGGGGATGGGGGTTTCCTGAGGTGACTGGTTTTCTGTGGGGAAGGGACCCTGAGGGTTTTGTGAGGTGACTGGTTTTCTGTGGGGAAGGGACCCCGGGGGTTTTGTGAGGTGACTGCTTTTCTGTGGGGAAGGGCTGGGGATTTCATGAAGGGGCTGGTTTCCGTGGGGAAGGGTGAACTTTGCCCGTGGGTCAGGGTTATGGCAGCCTTGACCTTGTTCTTCGTGGGTTCCATCCCCAGAGCAGGTGAAACCACAGCTAAAACACACTCAGCTTCCCCGAATCCCTGTAGAATAATTTATTTTTCCTCGTCTTCCTAAAACACCGGGGTGGAGGGAGAGGGGGGAAAAAACAGTCCTTACAACTGCCGTAACTCACCGAAATGCTTCCAAGGTGCCTGGTTTCCAGAGTCCTTTATTTTTTTGTTGTTGTTGTTGCTGTTGTTGAGCAAGTCCTGAATGTAATCCCTCGGCAGGGGTCCGACCCGTCGCACCCGCTTCCTCATGGCAGCCAGGAAAGGTAACATGGCTGATGGCCTGGCAGGGTGCTGCCGTGCCAGCGGGATGGCAGCCAGCCACCCTCCCCGTCCCTTCCCAGAGAGAAACACGGCTTTGCTCCGAAAAAGTGGCCCTTCTGACAAGGGAAAGCTCAGATTTTTAAGCAGAACCTGGGATCTAGGCAAGATATTTCTGCTTTTTCTTTTATTTTAAATTAATTCTGTGGCTGTGGGGCTCTCGGGTAGGCTCCTTGGTCAAAACTGGGGGTGCACCCCGTGTGGTTTGGAGGTTTCTGCCCCCTCCTCCTCCTTTCCCTGGCGAGAGATTTGTGTCTGGAGGGATCTTTGCTGATATAACTGATAAGCAGAGAGCACTCTCTCTCTCCCTGCGCTCCGCATCTTTCCGAGGCTGCCCGGGGAGTGCTGCGGGCAGCCGGGATCCGGGGAATGTGCCCGCTAAAAGCCATCAATAACGCCAGGCAGGGGGGCTCATGGAGAAAAGTGCTTGGCTTCAGGATGGCTTTTGCTGAAAGACCGTCAAGTGCCAGCATCATCTACTGTAATAATGAGAATTTTAGGGTTTTAAATTCTTCCTGTGACCGTGGTCAGCGTGGAGATGCTGCTGGGCTGGCACCAGCCCTCTCGAGAAGCTGCTTTTTGTCTCCGTGCCAGTCTCCTGGGTTCAATTTTGCTGGAGATTTCTGCGTCTGTAACACAAAAGCCGCTCGCAAAAATGAGTTAAGTTGGGGGTTGCCACTTTTTTTTTTTTTGGGGGGGGGGGCTTTTGATACCAAACGGTGGCAGGATGATGCGTGAATCTGGCGGGCTCCTCCGTTGAACCAGTTGGGAGTTTAAGAAGCCCCTCTGGATTGAGCTGGGCTGACCTCCATCCTTCTCAGGTGCTCTTCAAAAGCGAAATTTCAGGTTTGGAAAAGGTTTTTTTCCATTTGGAAAATCTAAAAGGGAGCACAAGGAAAAGCCCACGACAGCATCTCATCGGATGAGATGGGAAGCATCCCCCCGGGAGGAGGGAGGTTGGCTGCAAGCTCTGTATCTACAGAGCTGGTGATAACGAGCAGGTTAATTGATTCTTAACTTGATGAGCAGGTAATTAACCTGTGGTGTGCTTTTATGCTAACTTGATGAGGGTTATGCTCTGCTGAATGGGTGTAAGGTGCCTGCTGGGGCATCGCTCATGATCCTGTTGCTGTGTAAGGACTTTTTCGATGAGGCACTTGAGAAGTGGTGGGGATTTGGTGGCAATCTGTGCACGTCATTAATTTTTAATTTATTTTTAATAACAACAAAGATTCTTGATGATGTTGCATCGCTGGCACTTCTGCTGGTGTCCTTCTATCTTGTGGAGATATTTAAGGAACGTGGCTGGTGTGGTGGAGCCACTGATGGTGCCTTGAACCCATGTGGGTCATCTGTGGGGCAGTTCGCCGGTGTCGCGGTGAGATTTAGGACTGTCCTGCTGGGTTGTCTTCTGAGTGGGGCTTCTGCGCTGGCTCTGGGCTTTGAAGCAGCAGGAAAATGTTTCCTGTGACTTTGAATATATAAGAAAAAGAGCAAAGATGGCTTTAAAAAAGCCCAATAAACCCACCGGCCTTAAGATGCCGAGCTGACGATGGAGGTCCTCAAGATGAAGCAGGTGTGTTGCTCTCTAGCCTGTTCTTGGAAAGCATTAAGGAGGGTTCAGGTGCTTCCCTGAACATCACCTTTATGTGGATGTGGGCATTTGGCCCTGGGACCTACACCTCATGGATGGTAGAGGCCTTGAAGAGTGTGGTGAGGAGAAGACAACCTGTTATGGAGAGCTGCATTGCCCCGAGCAGTTGGGTTTTGATGCACCCTCTGTGCCTGGCTGCCCGAAGATGCTCTTAAGAGTAACTGGGCATGGGGGTGAACAGAAGAAAGGAGGGGGGAAGAGCAGGAGAGCTTCAGCGGGGTGTTGGGGTTCAGGAGATGACTTTCCAAGCGCAGAGGTGGGGCCTCCTGGATCACCTTGTCAACAGGATGGGGATGAAGCTTTTTGAGGGAAGGCGGACGATCCGGCTTGCCGGAATCAATACAGTTGTCTTGCTAAAAGCCTATTGATCTGATGTGCCGTGTTGCATTAGCACAGCCACAATAGTACCTCCTTTGGAGTCCTTCCTCCTCCTGGTTGAACCAGGATGAGAGAAACTGCTGGGGAGCCACTTTGAAGTGGTCGAGTGGGACTTCTCAGGTCCCCCCACCTCTCCTTCCTGCTGGGCTGTAATGGGAGCTGCTGTGTGTCGTGTAGAGAGTCCTTAACTTCCATTTGATGCTTGCAGAAGATCTCCTGGGACCTTGTGGGACGTGTTGTATTTTCTTGGGGCTTAGGTTCATGCTCGTTAAGCCACACCAATGACTTCATTGTGTTAGACTCAGTGTTGCCCTGAGGAGGTCTTAAACTGGTGAGGAACCTGTCCTGGATACACCAGCAGTTGGGAGTTGCTGGTGGAGGCCCTCTCCATGTAAGGTCTCACTTGTGGCCCTTTAAAAGCAGGGATTAGTGGTGTTTAATAACCCCCATCAAACGAGCTAATTAACAGCTGTGCCTAATTATGAGCCTGTGAGTAGTTCCAAAACTGCATCAACCTTCAAGCATGTAGGACTCCAGTTGGGTAAATAGTTACGGGGGGACCATTATCATAGAATCATAGAATTGTTCAGGTTGGAAGAGACACTTGGGATCATCGAGTCCAACCATTATAATACTCTTCTTTCTCCTGATGCAGTACCAGGGGACTTTGGGGAGGTTTAGGATGGATATTAGGAAAAATTTCTTCACGGAAAGGGTTTGTCAAGTCTCGGACTGCCAAGGGAAGTGGTGGAATGAGGTTCAACAAGGCCAAGTGCCAGGTCCTGCGCTTGGGCCACAACAACCCCCTGCAGCGCTACAGGCTGGGGCAGAGTGGCTGGAGCTGCCTGGCAGAAAAGGACCTGGGGGTGTTGGTGGACTGTCGGCTGAACATGAGCCAGCAGCGTGCCCAGGTGGCCAAGAAGGCCACCAGCATCCTGGCCTGTATCAGGAACAGTGTGGGGAGTAGGCCCCGAGAGGTGATTGTCCCCCTGTACTCGGCACTGGTGAGGCCCCACCTCGAGTGCTGTGTCCAGTTTTGGGCCCCCTACCATAAAAAAGACATTGAGGTGCTGGAACGGGTCCAGAGAAGGGCGACAAAGCTGGTGAGGGGTCTGGAGAATAAGTTCTTATGAGGAGAGGCTGAGGGAACTGGGGTTATTCAGCCTGGAGAAGAGGAGGCTGAGGGGAGACCTTCTGGCTCTCTCCAACTACCTGAAAGGAGGGTGTAGAGAGGTGGGGGTCGGTCTCTTCTCTCAAGTCACAGGCGACAGGACGAGAGGAAATGGCCTCAAG